ATGGTTCACCAACGTGGTGATACACCGAGTAGCTCTGCTGCGGCCGACAGGATGGATAGAGCCACGGTTCTATCGGCGGTTCCAGTGTGAGCGGTTCCAATTGTTTAACCCACTTCCTTTGGTTCTGCCTTGGAGCAGATGGAGAAAAGTGGGTCCCCTCCCACGAAGGCCAACCTCCAGCCTCTCCCTCGCTCCTCTTCCCCACGCGACGAGGCCCAGCTCCCTCTGCTTTTCCGCGACCCTGCAAACCCGCAGGCATGCTGGGCTTCTCTGCCGACGGGCTCTGGCAGCTTTCACCACGGAGGGAGCCCAGGCCACTGTTCTGCTAGATGAGGCCTCGCAGGCAGGGGCAGGTGGACAAGGTCGCTAGCTGCTGGCTGAGATGATGCACTCTCACCCCACTGGGGTGTTCTTAGGAAAGGGGCAAGGGGGTCCCCTTTCTTCCATTCTGCAGCCAGGTTGGGCCAGCAGGTTCCAGACCCTGCCCGCTGTCCCCACTTCCGCCTCTATGCTGGGACAGTAAGAACGCACGCGTGGCAGAGCTCCAGGACCCAGTGACTCACCTGTCGAATGCAGATGAGGGCAGTGCCCACTTGCGTTTCATATCTGTGTTCTTAGAACAGCGCCCCACGCACGGTAAGCGCAGGCTCTGGCAGACTTGTGGTCTAACCCAAACTCCGCCACGTACCCGGCGTGTGACCCCGGTCAAGTTTCTAACCTCTCTCAGCCCCCGATTCCGCCCTGTAAGATAGGCTGGCAGTATCTTCTTCGTGGTGTGGTCATGAGAGTTAAACGCGGTAACAGCCCGCGCCTGACACGCGGTGCAAGGTCGGCAGGTGAGCCAGCACCAACAGCACCGGCTGTCGCCCAGCCCCGCCCCGAGAGCCAGCCACGCTGCGGCCCAACAGCATCATCCAGTGTTTTCCCGACTGTTACCAGGGAAGTGAAACACACGGGCCGCCTGGCAAGTCTGGAGAAACAGCAACAACCAGCCCCGAGGGGCGCTCGGAAACTGCTGACGGGGCAGAGACAACAGGGTTTCCAAATGCGTGCAGACTTGCAGAGAAAGGGCAAGACACAAAAACCTCTGTCTAATGACCCAGCAATTTCACTTCTGGAAATCTCTTCTAAAGAAACCACCAAACTATAGAAAAAGACCCAGAAATGACCCAAATGACAGGATTAGCAGATAAAGACATTGAAAGTTATAGCTACAGCCCTGTTATCTATTGGGGATATGTTCTGAAATTCCCAGATGCCTGAAACTGCAGAGAGTGCCGAATTCTGTATGCTTTTTCCTATGCATACGCGCCTACGATGGAGTTTAAATTATAAATTCAGCATGGTAAGAGATTAACAATAACAATAAAATAGAACCATTGTAACAATACACTGTCATAAAAGCTATGTGAATGTGGTCTCTTCCGCTCTCAGAGTATCTTAGTGTCCCGTATGCTGCAGGTAACTGAAACCTCGGAAATCAAAACTGCATAGAAGAGGAAATGACTGTATATTCTATGCATTTAAGAATGTAAAAGAAAGTTTGAGCACATTAAGTAGAATCGTGGAGGATATAAAAAAATCTAGATCAAATTTATATATAGAAAAAAAATACCCTGAGATGAAAAGTGCAGTGGATGGAATTAACAGCAGATTAGATGGTGCAGAAGAAAAGCTTATTTATTCTATTTATTATAATCAGTGATGATAAGTGTGAAGAAGATGATGATGACGGGCGTAACCAAAGCCAACATTTAATGCCAAAGAATGTGCCAGAGACACCTAGTTTGCCTGCAGCTGAATTATCTTGCATGAAGATTGTTGACTCACATATGAGGTGGTGAGTTGGTTGACCAAGTCAAGGAACAAAGAAAGGCAAAAATCGGCTTTAAAAGAGAAAGGGAAGGGGTGGGCACACACACGAGTGCCTCACAGCAGTGACTCTTGCTGGCACGCTCCTGTGTGTGAACTGGTGAACTGGCACAAAGAGGTTGGCCTGGGCATTATGTCCTTGAATAGCCATTTAACAGGCACCAAAGAAAACCAGTTTCTGCCACGTGTGGACAAGGGCTCCTCAGGAGCCCTGGAGGGTGACGATCTCTGTGCCGATATGTCCCTGCCGTCAGTAAGTCAACCTGGCTGGGCTGGGTCCACCCCATTCACCTTGTTAGGACTCTCATATGTAAATGGTGCAGACCTTCTGCAGCCTTCGAGCTGTGCATGTGCTTCGACTCAGCAACGTCCACGTTAGGGAACAGATCCTGCGGAGACAGATTTCTGGACATGAGCAGAGGTTAGTCTTCCTTCACTGTATGGTCTGGAGTAGGTAAAAACTTGCAACAACTCCCTATGTCCTTCTGTAGGAGTTATAGTAAAGAGATGGTATAGCCACTATAATGAAATATGAGGGCTGCTTTTCAAACTGTTACTGGGAAGAATAATTAACAACATAGAAAATATGTTTCAAGTGGGAATTGATAAATGAATTTAAGTAAAGTCTCCAGGATACAAAATCAATACACAGAGATCGAGGCATTCATATGCACCACAATAATCAAATTGAGCACAATCAACGTATCAATACCCTTCCAATAGCAACAAGAAAAGAAAGTACCTAGGAATATACTTAAACCAAGGAGTGTAAAAGACCTCTACAGGGAGACTAATGAACACTGAGGAAGGAAATAGCAGAGAATACTAAACAGATGGAAATCCCATACCATGCTCGTGGGTCAGCAGTCTCAACATCGTTAAAATGTCTCTATACCAAACTGATTTACAGATTTATCAAAGTACTATGTAAAATCCCAATCTCATTCGTCATAGATATTTGGGAAAAATAATGTTTACTGGCTTCGTTGAAAGAAGACCCGCATATCAAAGACATTCTAGCAATAAAAACAAAATGGGAGGTATAATATGCCAGATATCAAACTATACTGCAAAGCTGTAGTAATTAAATCAATTCGTATTGGCACAAAAATAGGAATATTGACAGTGGAACAGATCTGAGAACCCTGATATAAAACCATCCTTATATAGCCATCTAATCTTTGACAAACCAGACAAAAACATACACTTGGGAAAAGAATCTCTTTTCAATAAATGGTGCTGGGAAAACTGGATAGCCACTTGTAGAAGGCTGAAGCAGGATCCATACCTTTCACCTCTCACAAAAATCAACTCACGCTGGATAACAGACTCAAACCTAAGGTATGAAACTATTAGAATTCTAGAGGAAAATGTTGGAAACACTCTCCTAGACATTGGCCTAGGCAAAGAGTTTATGAAGACGACCCAAAGCAATCACAACATCAACAAAAATAAATAAATGGGACATGATCAAACTAAAAACTTCTGCACAGCCAAAGAAATACTCCTGAAAGTAAACAGACAACCTACAGAATGGGAGAAAAATTTTGCATCCTACACATCTGATAAGGGGCTGATAACTAGAATCTACTTAGAACTCACAAAAATCAGCAAGAAAAAAATCAAACAACCCTATCAAAAAGTGGGCAAAGGCCATGAACAGAAACTTTTCTAAAGAATACAGAATAATGGCTAACAAACATGAAAAAATGCTCAACATTTCTAATCTTCATGGAAATGCAAATAAAAACTACAATGAGATATCATTTATTTCCAGTAAGAATGGCCTTTATCAAAACATCCCAAAACAATAGATGTTGGTGTGGATGCAGAGAGATAGGAACACTCCTGCACTGCTGGTGGGACTGCAAACTAGTTCAACCTCTTTGGAAAGCAATATGGAGATACAAGTGGATCTACCATTTGATCCAGCAATCCCATTACTGAGCATCTACCCAAAAGATACAATGACATTCTACAAAAAAGACACCTGCACTCGAATGTTTAAGCAGCACAATTCATAATTGCAAAGCGTGGCACAACCAAGTGCCCATCCAATTCATGAGTGAATTAATAAAATGTGGTATATGTATACCATGGAGTACTATTCAGCTCTAAGAAACAATGGTGATATAGCACATCTTGTGTTTTCCTGGATAGAGCTGGAACCCATACTATAAGAGTATCCCAAGAATGAGAAAACAAGCACCCACATATACTGCCAGCAACTGGTTTAACTGAGCAGCACCTAAGTGGACACATTAAGAAACTAATTAATTGGGTATTGGGTGGGTGGAGGGGGAGGGGGTAATACATACATAATGAGTGAGATGTGCACCGTCTGGGGATGGTTCACACTTGAAGCTCAGACTTATGGGGAGGGGAAGCAGGGCATTATTTGAAACCTTAAAATTTGTAACCCCATAATATGCTGAAATAAAAAAAAAAAGAAATATGTTCAAGTTATATCAGGAAATGAAAAAATAGGCTACAAAGTATTATATATAACATTTTCCTAATTCGGTTAGAGAAAAGTGTAGACATAGAATATTCCAGAGAGAAAGAGAGAGAGAAAGCACAATAGGACCAGAAGGACAGACACCAAAATTTTAATGGTACTTAATGAATTCACAGGTGATTTTATTTATTTATTTATTTAATTCTGAGGCTGGGGTCTCACTCTGTTGCCTGAGCTGGAGTGCAGTGGCCTGATCATAGTTCACTGCAGCCTCACACTCCTGGGCCCAAGCGATCCCCCTGCCTCAGCCTCCCGAGTAGCTGGGACTACAGGCGTGTGCCACCACACTCAGCTAATTTTTCTATTTTGTAGAGAGGGGGGGTCTCACTGCATTGCCCAGGCTGGTCTCAAACTCCTGGCCTCCCAACATGCTAGGATTACAGGTATGAGCTACTGCGCCCAGCCCACAGGCGATTTTAAATTTCTTGTTTGTGTTTTCCAAATCATCTACACTGAAATATAGGTTTCTTTTATCAAAAAGGAGGGGAAACCCAGATGTAAAAAAATAAAATTTCCCAGTGCCAGAAGAGAGGAAGCGGGAGGAGCGCGTGTCGCCTGCAGTGGCACAGGGGCTGGGCGAGCCTTATATAAGGAGACCCCCTCTGTGGAAGGGGACTTCCAGCAGCTGCCCCCGCCGCTCGGCGCTGCGATCATGGAACTTCCCCTGCTGTGGGGGCTGGTGGTGATGGCTGGTGAGTGGGGTCAGGAAGGGACGGAGGGAGGCTGGTGCTCCCCGTGCTTGCTCTTTCTACACTGGTACACTGGGCTGCCGCTGCTCTGATCCCAGTGCTCTGGCCCTCCCCCAGCCCTCTGCCCGCTGCAAGGAGCCACAGAGGCTGCCAGTCCCCTGGGACCATGGCTTCGGCCAGAGAGCTCAGGGTGGCCAAGCTGCGTGGCATGCCTCGCACTTGCTGTGAGGGTGAGAAACTAGAAGTCTGGGACCTGGACCTACCTTCGTGACTTTTCTGTATAGCCAGAAATTATTCCATAATGAAAAGTTTATTTATTTTTTAAAAAACGTATTTATCTCGTGGGATAGAGTCCATAAATCAATATACAAAAAGACCTATAGTAAACATTCAATAATTGCCACTGCATTTTTAATAACAGCAGTAATTGCCGTCATTTTATCAGCAGCAGCATTCACAGTCACTCATTTGGTCCAGGCAGGCAGAGGTGCCACTCTGCAGCCTGCTGGCACGTCCCTGGACTCCTCCCCTGTCCTCACTGCTGGGCTGCTTGGCAGGTGTGATGCCGGCCCAGGGCGGGATCCTGAACCTGAACAAGATGATCGAGAAAATGACCAGGAAGATACCCCTCTTCTCCTACTGGCCCTACGGCTGTTACTGCGGACTTGGTGGCAGAGGCCAGCCCAAAGATGCCTCGGACTGGTAACCCCTCCCCAGGGCCACGGGTGGCCACCCTATCCCGCCTCCCACCCCAGGACTCTCCTTTCCTCCCCACCCATTTATTCATTAGTGAATTCCTTTTGTTGAGCATCTACTATGTGCTAGGAACTCTGCTGAGTCCTAGCCTTCTAGAAGGTTCCCCGGAGTCTCTGAAGGCCTGATTCCCCAGCCCTCCCACCTCCTAGTCTAGTTATAACACCCACATTTCCCCACTGCCATTGCACATTGTCTTTAAAAGCCCCCCTCTTCTGCCATTATCTCATTTGATCCTCACAACCACCCTGGGAATCGGCCTGAGGGCGGACGACAGCCAGCCAGCCCTGGGTCACCTCCACAGGTGACCATTTACAGGCTGTGTGACCTTGGACAAGTGGCTTGACCCCCCTGAGTCTCAGTTTCTCATCTGTGAAATGGGGAGAATACTAGTAGCTCTGTCACAGGGTGGTTTGAGGATAGAGACAGAGCGAGCAGATAAAGCAGGTGACTGGCGCACAGGAGGCTTTTAATAAATGATCTTAAGGAAGACCAGAGCCCTGCAGGGTTTGACTCTTTCCAGGTGGGCGTGTGAGTTCTCCTCTGGGCCAGGGGCAGCCAGAGGCCCACCGTCAGCGGGGGCCTGTTCAGCGGTGCCTGCCCCAGCTCCGTCCTCTCCCTCCAGGTGCTGCAAGGTCCACGACTGCTGCTACGCCCACCTGAAGACCCACGGCTGCCGCTTCCACACGGACCACTACAAATACAACTTCTCCCAGGGGGTCATCCACTGCTGTGAGTGCTGGGCCTTGGGTGGGAACTGGAGGCCCAGGAAGGGGGTTCTGGCTGCCCCTGCCTGTGCAGCACAGCTGCTCGACCTCTCTGTTTTCACGTGTGCCCAGTGGCCGCAGCTGGACTGCAGAGGAGGGGCAGGAATGGGCACAGGGGTGTGGAGAGGGCCCAGGGGACATTGACCCTTTCACACCTGGAAGCCCGGCCCACCGCAAACCAGTCCTGTGTCCACAGACACATTGCTTAACCTCTCTGAACCTCAGTATCCTCATCTATAATCTAGGCCATAAAGTTATCGCAAGAACCAAGATGAGACAGACAGAATGTGCCTCGCAGGATGCCTGCCATAGAGCGCATGCTCAGTAAATTACACGGGCTACCCATGAGTAATGACTTTTATCATTACTGATACTCACAACGGGCCCAGTAAGGAGCCAGCAAAACCCTGATCATCTCCATTGTACAGGCTAGGAAACTGAAACTAGACTGGGGAAGAGTTTGCCCGGGGGCTCACACCGCTGCAGAGGACAGAGCCTGGGCTGGAACCCAGGACACGTGGCCCCTGCCTCCTCCCAGCATAGGGAAAAAATGTTAACTGAGGGCTTAATAATAATAACAATCAGATCCAACATTTACTGAGCACTGACTATACGCTAAGCGCTATGTCTTTTCTTATTTTAACTCTCACAGCAGCCCCTGAGGCAGCTCCTACCATTATCCCCACTTTACAGCTAATCAAACTGAAGCCCATAAGTGGGCCCGCCTGGAGTCTTTGCACCTACTGTTCCATCTGCCTGGAATACTCCCCCTCCCCCACCCCGCTTTCTCTAGGAGCAGCTGGCAAGATCCCAGCTCTGGTGGCCACTTGAGGCTGTTTTACAATCTCCTAGCCCTTCATGGTTCCTTCCTTTCTCTTGGCACAGTTTGTTCTTTCCTTCCTGCCTGGCATGCGCCTTTTGTTCAGTCCTCTCCCCCGAGGACAAGCCACATGGTCGCTGCTCAATAATTGTTCACTGAACGGGTGAAATAAACAAAGGCGCAATGGCACACGCGGAGGTCATGGTATATGCCCAAAGTCATGCAGCTAGAATCAAAGCTGAGCAGCTGAGCAGACCCCGCACTGCCCTGAGGGGTCCCGAGACCCACACCTGGCCCTGCCTCAGGGAGGGACAGACCCTGAGCTCCCCCGTCCTCCACCCACAGCCGACAAGGGGACCTGGTGTGAGCGGGAGCTGTGTGCCTGTGACAAGGAGATAGCCTCCTGCCTGAAGCGCAACCTGGACACCTACAACAAGCGCCTGCGTTTCTACTGGCGGCCCCACTGCAAGGGCCCGACCCCCAACTGCTAGGAGAAGCCGCACCCCTCTCCCCGCCCCCCGCCCCTGTCCCTCGGCACCCTGAGCTCTGAAAGTCCCGCAGGATCACCGACATCCCTGCCCCAGCATCTAACTGGAAACAGCCTGGCTTTTAAAACATTCCTGGGGACACAGGTTCCCAGCGCCCCCCGCATGCCTCCTGCCCTTCTGGCTCCTCCCAACCAAGGCGGCAGCCAAGTCCTCTGTGGGTGCATCCGGATCTCGGGAAAAGCCGGGCATGAGAGCCCCCAGGATGGCATTTGGGCCAAGGCAGCAGGGGTGGAGGCAGGGGTCTGGGGGCCACTGTGGCGAGTTCTGTGGGGTAGGGGGGGCGGCTCCCTGCCACTGCCCCCACCTGCTGGCCCCCAGCCCCATCTCACCCGCTCCGATACACCCTCCAGCAGCACCTGAGCGGCCTCTCTAAAGGGCAATTTTTATCTGTCCATCCCCGTGACTCTCTCTCTTAAAACCCCAAGGCCCTCCCCTGCCCTAGGATAAAGCGTCTCTTTGACATTGGGACCCCACATAGCCCCACATAGAGGCCCTGTGTCCCTCTCCCCGACTAGGCTCTGAGGTTCCTGCAGGTGGAGCCCAGGACTGTCCTGGGCTCAGAATGGAGAAGGGGCTCCAGGCACGGGCCCTGGAGTACTTGCTGCTGCCCCCGGGCATTTGCTCAGGATAGGCTCCCTGCAGAACCACCCCTGCCCCGCTGTCTCCTCGGGACCAGCCCTTCCCAGCTCCTCAGGGTCAGAGGCTGCTTCCCCGAGTGTCCCCAGGCTGACTCCTCTGCCCCTGCTGCCAGGGCTCACTCCCTCTGATGAGCTCCCGTAGCCCTTCAGGGCTCTACTGTTTAGCTTTAGCTTGAGTGGCACGTGGGACTTCTCTGATGTCCCACAACTACCCTGGAGCTCCCAGAGGACAGAGACCATGTCTACCCCATCCTTGTGTCCTCTGCTCTCACACACAGTAGGTGCTCAATTAATGCTTGTGGATCAAATATGCCCATAATGGATAGATGGAGGATGTAGCAGATATTGTTGATGCCCCACCCAGAGCCCCTCCAGACCTGGGCTCCCCACCCCCAGAGAAGCTGGGTGTTGGCTGCTGAGTACCCCAATCTGCCTCCTTCTCCTAAGGGTCACCCTGGTCTACTGGGAGCTGCCTTGTCTCCACCCCACGCCCCTCCCCCCCAGGGGCCACCTGTAACCAACAACCAGGAGAGGAGACCACACCACGGAGGGGACAACTGCCCTGCCCCCTTGCCTCTTTGCAGCACCATTGGAGTGGTGCAACACCCCAGAATTTCTCCTGAGATGGAGCTGAGGCCAGACTTTCCCTGGAACCACTCTCCGCGTGGTCGCACCCTAGCCTGTCCTGTTTTCCTGGTTCCCGCTCAGGTGTCTCCGGGAGAGCACTCCCTCAATAAATCACTCGCATGACAATCCTTGTCTCGGCCTCTGCTTCTAGGGAAAAGGGTGACGATGGACAACTTTTTGGTACGAGGCTCTCCAGCCTGTCATTCGTGTGTGGCGGGCTGTGTGCCAGCGACGCAGCTGAGGTGCCTGCAGCCACCCGTGCTCCTGGCCAGGGACACACGTTTGTGACACAACTGACTGAGCTGTCCTCCCGAAACGCGGTGGTTCGGGGGAGGCAGGGTGGTCGCAGTGAACAGCTATAGGCTCTGGGCTCCAATTCCAGCTCGGTACACCGCCCTGGTGGGGACACTGATAGTCGGGGAGGCAAGTCTGGGGGCAGAGGGTGGAGAAATCTCTACCTCCACCCAGTGTTAGGCTGTGAACCTAAGACTGCTGTAAAAAAAAAAAGGCTATTCCCAAGGGACATAATGCCAGCCCGACCTCTTTGTGCCAAGTTCACCCAGTTCACACACAGGAGCGTGCCAGCAAGAGTCACTGCTGTGAGGCACTCATGTGTGTGCCAGCACCCCTTCCCTTTCTCTTTTAAAGCCGATTTTTGCCTTTCTTTGTCTCCTTGACTTGGTCAACCAACTCACCACCTCATATGTGAGTCAACAATCTTCATGCAAGATAATTCAGCTGCAGGCAAACTAGGCTGTCTCTGGCACATTCTTTGCACTAAATGTTGGCTTTGCGGTATTAC